GGTCGAGAAATACTACCATTGTGGGGCGTCTGAATGTGTGTCTCTGTTCTAGAACCTGACGTAGTGTGAATATCTGATCTATACAACCACGTCCAGGTCGAAAACCAGCCTGGTTTTCTCTAGTCTGCTCTTCACGAGCTTTAGTTAGGCGTCGAAGTATTATTGAGGCCAATATTTTAGACACTATATTAGTCAAACTGATTCCTCTGTGATTGTCACAGGAGGACTTTTGTCCTTTCTTAAAAACTGGCACAATCAGTGATTGAGACCAGTCAGATGGGATTACGTCCAGTTCCCAAATTCTACCTAAGACCTCGGTTAATCTCATTGCTAATACTGGACCACCATCCCTAAAAATCTCAGGAGTAAACCTGTCAGGGCCTGCTGCTCTCCCTCGTTTCAGATTTCCTATGGCTTTTTCAACTTCGTAAAGAGACGGAGGACCTACATTAACTTGCCATTCAGGTTGACTGGAGATCGTGGGAAACCGAAGTGTGGCTGAAGGCCAGTTGAACTGATCCCTAAAGTGTTCTGCCCATCGATCCAATCTCCTGGATTGAGAATGAATAATATGTCCATCTTTCTCTGAGATTGTTTCGCTAACGGTCGGGTTCCTAATTCCGGTTTCCTTAACGAGTCTAAACAATTGTCTGCTATTACCTATTGCCGCTGCCTTTTCCATCTCTCTTGCTTTTGGTACCCACCACTGTTCGCGATCATTGCGTAGACTTCTCGTCAGCTTGCGCTTAAGCTGACTCCGCTCTTCATTATGTTCAGAGCCAGGTGGAATGAGTTTTCGAGCATCTATCAGTGCGATAGATGCTGCTGAGATCCAGTGTTGCTCCCTAATTTTACGGTTTACCTTACTAGCAGATATCACTGCTGTTTCCACAGCTTTTCGGATATCGTTCCATGCTGCCTCGGGGTGGGCATCACATACATGGCTGCCTAACTGTTTTCCTAGTTGTTCCTGAAATATATTCTTAGCTTGACTATCATTAAGTAGGCCCCTAAGAGGTTTCCTTGCAGGATCTTTCCTACGTCCAGTAAGACGCAAGCAAATACGCGCTCGCACTAGAGCATGATCTGAATCTAGGCATGTGCTCCAGAATGAGCGACAGTCTTCTATCGAGCCCCTCCATCGGTGGCTGATAGCGATGTGATCTATTTGGGTCCAACGTTGGGACGAATTAGGGGGTCGCCATGTTAAAAGATGTTTTTCCTTATGCTTAAAGTTAGTATTTACAAGGAACAGGCGGTTATCTGAGCATAGCTGCAACAGACGGTCGCCATTATCTGTTCTTTGAGCCACGACACCATAGGATCCACCTAGGTGTCTTTCCTTATCGCTTAGTTTACCTACTTGAGCATTAAAGTCACCGGCCACTATTACTACATCCGAGCGCTTAGCTTTTCGGAGAAGGTCCGAAAGCTTTCTGTAAAACTCATCTTTTACATCATCTGAGCTGCAGTCAGTGGGAGAATAGGCAGAGACGACGAAGAGGCAACGACGAGTGTCCCTATCTTTCCGGATTCTTACTGTTCCGTTCAGTCGGACAGCGCACAAACGACTGTTTACTGGGATCCACTCTAAGAGAGCTAGTTCTGCCCTAGGACTCAATGCTATACCTACGCCGGCGAGGCCACGGGAAGCGGAATCAGGGCTTCCAGATACACGAAGCGTAAATCGAGTCGGTTCTTTATTTTGGCATGGTGAGGTCAAATGAATGACGCTACTCGGATCTTGTATGCGCGTTTCGGAGACGCAGCACACATCGATGGCGCGAGATTCTAAAGTCCTAGCTAAGGAAGCCTGCTGTCCTATTTGGCAAAGTGTTCGTACGTTAAAAGCTCCTACGTGCAGTTTAGAGCGTGGTTTCAGGAGACCAGGAATGGCGTTCCACGTACTCGAATCGTTTGCCCTAGCGGTGCGAGGTGATAAAGAGACGTGAGGAGGGTTAGTCGGGAGGATAAGAGAGGTATTAGGAGGTGTAGGAAGGATTTGAATGTGACCACCTTGGTCTCTTGTGCTGTTACGGGTATGAGGGCTGATGTCACTTCCCGGCTGCCCACACCGTGGAAGGGTATTTCTTGAGGAACCTGAAAAGGAAATTGGATTAGTGTTGGTCTTGACGACCTGGGAGCGTGACCGCAGAGCCCAAGGGACAACTGCTTGAGGCCGGTCGCGCACGGCCTTTTTGTGGAAGGTTTTTGACGTGTTAGCTCCGTTCTTCAAGGGGCCTTACCGCCGGAGACGGAAATCCGTGAGGTAAGGTGAGGTGTGCATTTTTAGGGTCGACCTTTTCTAACCCCACCCCTCCTTGTGGGAAGGCAGCATCGCTGTCATGCTGGTTGTCCGAGGGAAACACCTTACTGCTGTCACACCTCTCTACAGTCAGCAGTACGACTTCGCCCTCAGACCTTGAGTTGCTGCTTTTAGTCTTACCGTTCGCCAATCGACCTGCCTGGCATGGTAGAACCTGCAGGAACATATGTTCCAGCCAATATAGCTCGGTTGGGTCATCACGATAGGCAAGCCCGACCACCGCGTCAAGGTAGCAGCTTCGATCGGGCTATATATATATATATATATATATATATATATATATATATATATATATATATATATATATATATCGCCTTTTAACGGTAAGCTGTTAATCACAAGCAAAGTCAATTAAAGAATTGTATTTAAATCGGTACAGTATAGAATTGTTTACTTTGATTTTTTCTTGATGAATATTTCGAAATTATATTTTCTGTCAGGCATGAGATGAATAAAACTCCGCCTGGAGTCCCTCCGGGAGCTACAGCCGGTCCCAAGCCCGGGTAAAGGAGGAGGGTTGGGCATGGGGTTAGCGACCCCATCCCGTAAAAAACTTACTCGCTAAAAAAACGCTAACCAGAAAATGAGATGAATAAGTTGAACTTCGAGGACTATCCTACCGTGAATTATTATACATATTTTTATTGTATATTTTATTAATTATTTAGTTCACAGTAATTTTACATTACCTTAATTATAAGTTGTCCGTTAATTCATTAACTGTCAGTATGTGTTTTAATTTGCAGAAATTACCGCTAATTAATTGTGTCCATTACTCAGTTTTGAATCATATATGACGTAGTTATGTAAAGCATTATGATGCGTTATTGTTATGTAACTGATCCATGTAATCCTGTGAATTTTCGAATCATATGAAATAATAGACGGTAGGTAGCTTTACAATTTTCTTGTTCTGATTGACTATTAGAAACAGAATGAACATCGTAGACTAAAACATGGTAGAAAATGTAGTTAATATTGGCAGTCATTTATGTTCTTGGTTATAAGTGAAATTTGTTGTTGATCAGATTCGCATAAAAGTGAAATCAATACTAGTGAGCTCTATATTCTAGTGATCCTACTTAGTGAGCAGATAAAAAAATTTGAATTTAGTGGTTGAATAGTAATAGTCACAGTTTATATGTATTTAGAAAAACTCCAACTCGAAATCACTAAGGAACAAGGTAATACTCAACATCACCTATTTTTGTTCAAGCAAATAAATTTAAACTAGCCATGATATATGATGAATAAATCATTTTAACTATATTAGCAACTTGTCGTTGAAGGGTTATAAAATCATTTAACTAACATACTTATTTCCACACACTTGTGCTTTACTAAAGGATCAGCAGTGATATCAAATAGGTAATTTCTCTAAAATGTAGCAAAGAGATTTGTATTCGGTTAAATTCCTAGCAATGTATCGTACAATACAAGCAATTGTTGTGAGATATTTTTACTCTAACTCTGGAACCCATAAGGAAAAGTCGATATTTTTTTTGTATGGCGCTCAAGAAATATGATTTGTACAAATTATTTCTTGATAACATTTAAGATGTTGATTTTAGTTAGGGTGATTGCTGAAGAAATTATCCTACAAAATTCACCGCAACAAGCTTAACAGGGTAACACAGAAACTAATTATATCCCTTTTATTACTAAAAAATGTTTTCAATTTTCAAAAACTCTCGTTTTTTATATCTCAATGGATGTTTTCTGTATATTTAAAAAAATCGTTAAATGTTGAAACGATTTGATTAGAAGTTATTTATTGTAAAGTTAAAGAAAAGTGGCAAATAATTTAAAGTTTCATACAATGAATTAACTTCAGTTAGGCAATAATTAAGAAGCAGGAAGCACTAGACAGTTGTTATGCTATAACACAAGACTTAACTGAAGGCATTCAAAACCCCATGGCCTTCAAGTCTTCCAGAGGGCCCTGACCTTCAGATAACTGAGTTGACAAATTCACTGATTAACATTTGAGGCTTCAGTTAATTTGCAACAACTAGTGAGCATCATCCAGCAATATTTGTTTCAATCCCAACATGGTTCAACCTTATTGATCCCATATTCTCATTAGATGGTTGCCTAAACAAATTCAGTTCTTGATGTGAAACTTTACATTCAATAACCTACACAGCACCATATAATAATAATGAACAATTAAGATAAAGATTTCTGAAAAATAAGTGAGAAAACTGCAATTTACCTATAAAAAGATAAAATCACAAAATACAAATGATGCGGAGGTTGGGATAAACTTGATAAATCATGTTTTAAGACATAATACAAAGAAGTCTGAATAATGGAAAAGAAAATAATGGTACTACATGATGAGAAACTTAAAACTAAGCATTAAGACAGAAAAATAAGACAAGAGAGTATTTCTAGAATAAGCATACATTTATTATCGATGAACAAAAAAGTCGTTGATTGCTTCCAGTTTCTCAGTGGTGGCCTAGCTAAGATAAGTCAGTAGTTTAAATTACCAAATTTTTTTGGAAAGAAACTTGTAAATAGTAAGCTAAATGGTCGATTGGTGTGATAGTCATCATCAAATAGCACTCAATAAAAAAAACCAGTCCTTTAAAGTTCGTTAAAGAAAAAGTAGTAAAATCAATCGAGTGGGAAAAATAAATACTAAACTGTATGCACACAGGAAACTCACATTTTTGTCTAAACCTAATTCGGATGAATTTGTAAGCACTTGAGCATATTCTAACTTGTATGATGTAATGCGTGATCCATTATCTATGCCGGGTCCCCATTTAATATGCAGGGAATTACGTGTTTGACATATTATTTGTATAGTTCGCGGAGGATTCGGCTTAGATGGCAAGGTCATGAAGTGTGCAATCGGACTAAATTCACCACGAATTCCAGAGTAATTACAACATACTCTATAGAAAAAAGAAGTTGAAGTGACATAAGTTACTTAAAAAACATTGAAATATCGATTATAACTATGATAGTAAATAAAAACTGAGTAACACAGTGTATATACTATGGATTACATTTTATTATCTGACGAGAGTCGATGAAAATCGCTAAAAAAATCTACTAGTATCCAGGATACTTCTGGAAATACTCTAGCTAATCAGTAGTCATTAGAAATTTCAAATATAATTCCAAAAGATAACGGGTTATCTTTCCATAATTTGGAATTTCTATCCCAGTTTTAGCATGCTTTCCAGAAGCTCCTAGAATTGCCACCTTACATAAAATCCCATAAACACCTTGTTTTATGTACATAAACTAACATCGAAAGCAAAACTCTTGAGATACTTCCAACTTTTTACTTTCTATTTAGGGTTCGAGAGTAGAACATTTCTAGAGCCTGGAAAACACTTATGAAATCGATGTTTAAGCATTTAAACACAGAACTTATTCAGATACTAGGAAACGAAAAATCCTGATATTTATAGTTTGAATCATTTTAGAGTTACAGTTGATTTCACGCATGACGTTTATTCAACTATACACATTTTGAAACATAACTTGATGACAACAAGTGTTTGGAAACTAAGTTTCTTTTTTAACGAATAGACAGTCGATATGGGATGTGCTGAAATATGTAACTCCAAGGAATTTGATATTCAAGTGCGAAAATTAAATTACACAGAGATTGTGAGGCGATTATGGAATTCCAGCTCAGTAAGAAAGATAACGGTAACTGTCAGCTAAAATTATATTTTAACAACAATCTTTCTCTAACAAGAGGTAATTTTACTCATTAATAGAATATATATATATAGGTCACTGCCATCAACGCAATAGAGAATCAGTAGCCAGGTGAACGTGTTTGATTTAGTCTAAAGTGTAATTTCGTTGAAATGGATCTCAAATTTGTACTAACCTTCATTTTGCGGAAATTCTCGATATGATTTAACAAAAAAGTCAAGTACAGCTTGCTTGATCAATGTTCGGCTTATAGTGCTACTGTTAAACGCCCGTTTTTTGAAAAGCTAGTAGTTAAACATGTATTACAATCCAAGCAAGCGACATACTCGATACATTAAAGTTCGATAAATACACAACGGGCTGGAATGCCAATCATATAGGAGATACTTATTTTACAAATAAAACACATAACGCTAATAAAAACTATTGGTAATACTATTTATTTCAGATAAGTTAATATCGCATGATAGTTCTGGTCCATAGGTCAAGACACAAAATCTATTTGAGATTTATCATTATTATTTAGTTTATATCTAATATTAAATACCAATCAACTACAAATTTAATTCATATACATTGGTTGTTTCGATCTTTCTATGGTACTTTAGGACTGTAGTTGACTTGTGTCTTTCGGCGTGTGTGCATTCTGTGCGGATTTTCTAGACATAGTCACTAAGTCATCAGCATTTTGAGCAGAGATGGATGGTAGCTAACAATGGAATCAAGAATGCACGTCTTGTCTTATCTGGGAGTCATTAACTGGATGTACCTGAATCCAAAAGTTGATGTTCACCGATCGATTTCAGTTCTAAGCATCAATAGATAGATCCAAACAACCGATATATGTGAATTAAAATTCACCCCGTTGCACAAGCTAGTAGCTATTTGGAATCAATTACTAAGTGGATGACATGATGGCGTTTAAAGCGAACGTTACTGGTTTCGATATCAGAGTGGACATCAACTCTAGGATGCAGGTACATCCAGCTGATGATCCCCCAGTAGAATGAAACGTGAGCCTTGGATTCCACTGCTAGACCCCATTCATCGGTGCTGACAACTAAAAATATATTGCATATAGTAATTAAGATAAAAGAGGTTATTTGAATTTATCTAACAATATACTATTAAACGTTCGTATACAAATCACTTTATGGAATGATGGAGATTTTAAGCGCAGGCAGATGTTATATTCAATGGCTTATATGATATAATCAACGCCTAACTAATGTTGTGTAGTTGCTGACATCACTTGAATAATCAATTGGAGCCTAAAAGTCTTGAAAGTTTTCGTCACCCTACTTTGAAATCTGATTGCATCATCAGAAAGAATAGTGAGTACAATATGTTGAGAAAAACTGAATAGATTACACGTGAAGCAAGGTACAAAAAGTTATTCTTTTCGGCCTAAATATTCAAGCAAGATCATTGTTCATACATCGTTATCTAGGTCGATTAAGGCATCTGTAAACGTGTATTTTAGTTGTACGTAACTGGGAATAAAGACTCTCATTCAGTTTTTATCTCGCTTTTGAGCTAATCAAGTATCAGAAAAGTGTATAATAACTTAATAAAACTGCAGTCCAAACTGTAGATAAAAGTTCTTACTGTTGAACTATTTAGTTTGGAACCCACCAATCCGAAGTATATATATCAATCCACGTTATTTGTGACATAGTCCGAACACTTATAAGTAGTCTGTTTTAATAGGTTTAGCTACTTGTCTAAGCTTACAGCAGATGACATCTCAAGAAAAATTCCGTAAATTATTAAGGATTTTAGAACTTGGACTATGATTATTTACAAGCCTTTACCTAAGCTGGGTAACAATGCATATGTGTATCAAAGATGTCACTTTTAAAAGAATACAACTATACATTCATGAAAACAGTAAGTTATAAACTGGTATGGATTAGAGATATGTCTTTCTTTAATCATCAATCAAGATGTATTTGAACTAGCAATCTGATTGTTTTTAAAAATAGTCAAAACAATTAGAAATACAACTTTAGCCAACTGAAATTGGCTCGAAACAGTTAATTTCTTTGATAAATTCTGGTTAATGCAGTAAGCGGATAAACGAGGTGATATAAATTTGCATAAAACATTACAAACATATTGATTATATATTTTCTTATCAGTATAAAGGTGTGGAGATTGTTGAGTTTAGATTAATATCATGAATAGATCAATGTTAGACCGTTATTGAAAACCTGGTAGCACTGGACGGCCACCTCGTTCTAATATGGAACTCCTCAATAGTGAGCATCGACGATCCAGCACGCAGAACTCAAACTCCGGATTGTCCTGTGCTACCAGGTTTTCGATGGTGGTCTAACAATGATCCATCCATGATATCAATCTATACATTTTCTTGTCAAGATATTCTATATTATTGAAAAATAAAAGGTCAAAATAAACAAGTTGAAATATAAGAATCATATCACCTCAATAATATCAGAGTAGTAGTGCAAGTACAAATTGTTTTTGAACATTAGGGAGAAAGTGCATTTTTGTATGATTAAGGCTTACATATTTGTAGGTATCACTACCAAGGTTTGACTTGATAAATATTCATCCCCTTCACTCAGACATCTTTTCTATGAAACAACAGTGGCTCAGTTAAGGTTAATTTTATGATTTGTTACAAATGTGACCTACTCTTATTGGGTAGTTTGAATTTATTTCTTTCAGGAGCCATTTATTTTCACAGCCTAAATTGAAAATCGCGATTACTTCACCGTAAATATGTGCTGCCATACACATGTAGATTAAAAAACATTAGGATTTGATGTAACCGTTTTTTTAAAACATGAATACTAATGAAAAAAATAAAACTACATATGCCTCTCTACATGTGTTGATTGCCTAAACATCTGTCTTAATTATATGGAATTGGGCTAATGAAAAAAAAACCAACTAATTCATTTTCATTAGAATGGGGTTTGCGGAGATTATAGCAATTTTAATAGTTGAATTCATGAGTCGATCGTGGATGTGCAATATTCAGGAGTTCCATACTAGGATGAAACGGCCGCCCAGTGCTTCCAGGTTTTCACTGGTGATCTAGCTTAGATCAACTCATGGATTGAACTATTATAGTTCATTTTTTGCTATCATTATATCAAGAATAACTTAACGAGCTATTCTTTTAGTTTTTGAGAAAATGTGGCAATTATTGCATACAAACGACCAGAAACTCTTTCACGAAAGAAAATAAATCGCAAAAAATAAAAGCAATCCACCATTTCCTACCCTAATACATTAAAGGTCAATAATGAGTTATAAAGAAACCTAGAAAAAGAAAAAAGAAAAGCAAAAAACAATAGACGGAACAAAAGAGCATACTTACTTTACGTAGTAATTTGTCCCAGGACGAAGATCTTGCAATGATATGTAAGTAGCTTCACCGCTAAGTAAAAAATTATACAAAATACAGAATGGGATGTTTGGAAAATATTTAGAAAGTGAGGTGAAAAAAATGATAATCGGTGAATCATTTAAAAACAGACTGTTGAGGTGATAAAGTTGATTTGATAAATATATGATTTACTCGAAAGTAAATGGGAGTTGTTTATAAATAATAAATTCGCCTATAGAATAAGTTATTCCCATCTTAAGTAAATGAATTTCAAAAGAGAGTATAAAATCGACTAACTGGTTGAATTCATTATATAAAGTCAAAGAAGTCATTTATATTTCCAAAATGAACAATCAAGATTGTATGATTATTTAAACAAAAACTATTCAACGAAGAATAACAAATTGAACTATCGCCTACCTCGTTGTCCATAAGAAACCAAGGACGATCAAATGTAAACATGAATTCTTTCAATAAAGTCACTGACTTTTGGAATAAGGCATGACGACAGATGCAGACTTTTATTTTACTTATTTAAATACATAAACATTAGTACAAGGAGGCATCAAATAGATATGCGTCACATAAATCATTCGATTTTTATGATGGCTGGGATACTGCCCAGGTGCCCAAACCGAAACATGTGTTCTTGGAGGCCATACCCTGAGCCTTTGAACTGAAGGTCTAATCCACAAGGTAGTGGAGCAACGTCAGAAGATGAAGTCTCATGGTAGTCAGTGATCAACAATTGGTCCACACGTCATTTGTTCTCTCAGGATACTGAAGCCCATTTACACCAGTGACTTGGAATCAGGGTTTTCCAACTTTCCTAGATGAACCCTCCGTGTCCACCAACCTGGTTAAAGCGCCGGATATTCGCTTTTCGTCCTCTCAATTTCGTAAACAACACCCCGCCACGAGAAGGCAGTGAGCATGACTTCCCCGGTAGTGGTTGCATGCACCTGGCCATGTGAGAACATTTCGAGAGGGATAGTTGACTCTCTCTACTCTTGGCCGTACCAGGGCATCTGGGGGCTAGATGCAGACAATTTGGTTTTGATACGCCAAATAATTGTCATTTATAATGGGAGGGTTTAGACTTAAGATTAACGGCAACAGTACAGTTTTATTTAGATTTCGTCTTCCTGTAAATCTTGCGTTACACTGCACCTTATTACTCTTCATACATTTACTTCATTCCCTAATTCTGTTTGAGCTTCTACAATCATTATTAAAACAATTGTTTCGACTCGTATCATTTTCATCTCGCTAGTTTCATGTGAATAATGACAAAATGGACCAATGCACATTTGACATATAATGACTGACATTACTAACTCAAGTCAAACTCACAACAATCCATGACCATTATCCTTTGTTATTTGTGGTATCTATTGCATGTCAAACATGGTTAAACTCCACTTATCATGAATTCTCATTCGCCAGAAATGTGAATCAATCGTCTGGAGGTTGAGGGTTTGATAATTGACCCGAGGATCCTGATTTCAATCACCAACAGGTCATGGATTCGCACTGTTAAAGAGCTCTATACTAAGATGAACCAGTAATTCAATGCTTCATGGTTTTCAAATATATCTGTTTCGCTCTCAGAAAGATTGAACTCTACTGACCTAAGTTTCGTATTAGAACTTCAGTGGCTATCTTTGAAAGTACTTACATACTAGTAAAGCGTGTTTTCGTAAAGATTGTTCAATCGGATTTAGTTTCTCTTACGGTGACCTCATCATTAGCATAAAATCAATACAAGAATGTCTGTTATTCTAGTTTTATGTAATTCAGTTGCATGAATGAAGTGGATGAATATTCAAACTGATGATCTAGTGGAAAGAGTTTAATGTGCTGGAATCGATAAGCCTGGATTTCATAGATTACTGTCAAATGCTCTTGGGCACAGCCAGTAGAGATAATTCGCTGTTCCCGAAATGCTCACCTGTCTAAACTTTTATACCCCCCCCACTCACACGGAAATATTCTATTCAACGTCATCATACGAGACAATGACAACATAAAAATTTGGGTGTGAAAGGGGATAATTGGCACATAAACACAGAGATTGCACCTAACAGAGCTTAAGAATTCTGATACTTAGACAATGTTGAAATGAATTTCAGGAGTTTATTAGCACGAATGACGTATAAATCCTGTTTGGCATTTATGAGAATAATTTACAAAGCAAACAAATATTTTCATGGTTTACATCATTAACTCATCTTCATTAGACACCATCAGCAGAAACCAGAAAGCCCTGGAGAGCCATTTCGTCCCACTATGGAACTCCTCAGCAGTGCACATCGACAACTCCACTGAGTATTCAAACCATGACCTACGATCTCTTATGTGAACCCCTGACCTCTAGACCATTGAATTGATATACCCGATGATGTACATGTTTAACTTCAGTTAATTGACTACATTGAGTGACCAACTTCCATTGCCTGTGTGGATAACTGTCCCACATCCAACATCGTTGAATTTCAATAGTCAAAGCTTCTTAATAAGATCAAATCAGTTGTTCAGTGCCTCATGGTTTTCGACGGTGATCTCAGTACGATCAACACCCTATGTAAACTATGATAATAAACATCTTCAACCATAAACAAAAATATTTACACATATATTCATAACTTTAAAAAATATTAAATTACTAAACAACAAGCAATAGGTACAATCTCACTTACATGAAAACACATTTAAAGTTTATTGTATTGCCTTTTTCAGCTAAATATAATTCAAATCGTAATGTATCCAAATCTATTGTTATTTGATAACGTTGACTGTCATCATTATTACTAATATCATTGTTAGAAGAAGTAGTAGTTGCAGTTTTTATTATTGTTGAAATATTATTAGTACTATCATCCAACTCGTGAACGTTATCATTAACAATATTATCATAATTAATGTTTGAATGTATTAAATCGGATTTACAATTATCCCCCTTTATGGTTGTTGACGATGGTTTACATTTATCGTGTAGATGATTTTTTGATGGAGAACTGGCGACTTTAAACAATTTGCCATTATTATTATTATTATTATTATTATTATTATTACTGCTTTCTGACAATAATGATTGCAATGATTGACAAGAACCAACGGACAAAATTGTAGCAGTAGAATTATTAGTGGTAGCAGTTGTAGTATTGGTTGTTAATATGGATGGATTGGTAAGGATGTAATTCGTACTTGTTGTTATTGTTGTGATTGATGTGCTTGTTGCAGGCGATGATGGTGATGACGATTCAACATCAGCAACAGATGAAAGAATTAAATTTTGTGGAAATGACAATTGAATTAATGCACTATCGCATTTAACTTCACTGATCTGCAAAAGAAATAAATAAATGAGGAATATCTAAAGCAATGAAAAGTGTATGTAAGTTATCGGGTCTAGAAAAAAGTAGGCGTCTAGAGGTTACGCGTCCGCATGTGCGAGAACAAAGGTCCAGGTTTCAATCCCTAGATGTGGGGTTGTGAATGTGCACTGCTGAGAAGTCCCATACTAGGAAGAAACGACCACGTAGTTTCTTCAGATTGGTAATGGTGGTTTAACCAAGATTAGTTTGAGATTTAAAACTGTGAAAGAAACAAATTGATGAAAGCCTATATACACATAAGGCAAGCTTATTTACCACCATATGTGTATGGATTACAGTAAACGATTCTCAGCATAAAACACCCAACATCGGAACGAATTCCTCCGATGCATCAGTTGTGTCCACTAACCATAAAAATATATGTGATGTGAACAAATCTAGTTTCTCCAAAGAGTATATTGCAAGAATAACATACAGCATTTAACTTCTTAGCGATAGGTTTCAAGTTTTTGGGTAAGAATGTAAATGCATTAACTCAAACCCATTTCCTGAAACTTCTGTCCAAATGTAATGAAAAGAAAAAGGATTCTGACTCAATATTGGAAATTTTCAACCGACGTTGTAAAAATGAATTCCATGACAAACTGTGCATCGTTAATGACTAATTGTCAAGGACAAGAGACAGTTTTTATAAGTACCAATATATGTCACACTGTATCATCGTCGATTGGAACTGCAATAAACATGGTTTATCCCCCTATCTTCTAAGTTACTGAAAGACCATGAGGGCCGAACAGTTATTAGAGGGGAGTTATGGGTGCTTCCGTTATCAGTCAGTCAGTCAGCACTGCTTTCGTTATAGGCATTTTATAACATTGTCTCCAGTTTCCAAAACAGTTAGTTGAATTAAAGCCTAATAATTAATAGTTTACAAATTCCTCTAAAACTTTTCATTGATGCTATCGTTCACTTATTTTTTTTAATCACCCTTAAAAATCGAGAAAAAGAACAAGAGTACTATTTAGAATGTAGTTTTATTGTTTTCTATTAACTTTAAACATTGTTTCCTCTACCTTGATTAATTACTGTATAGTGACCAGTTTCGTGTTTATCTAGTCATTAAAGCTAACCGAATTTTATCTATTGAGATAAATAGAACATAGGTCACTACTCAGTGATCAATTAATTTAAATAACTCGATTCTAAAGGGGGACAGTCAGTTACGACTTCAATCATTCAGTGTTAACACCTCTGACTGTGAAGCTAATTGACACAGACCTGAAACCCATATGAAGCAAAATTTCCCTAAAGATTGTAAATATGATTTATTGATTATTATTATTATTATCAATTTTATTCAATATTATATTCAGTACTATATATTTCTCAGCGCAAAGTATTTCAACAAGTTTCCGTTTCTTTCTTCTTCGTCGGTCCTGGCGATAAATACTGAGTGATCAACAGTTAGATGTTAGCAATTCAGTAAATGAACATCTGAATAATGTGCATTCTTTTCGTTGTATATTGCCAGCAACCACATTGTCTCTTATTGAGTTTTTTGTAACTTTGACAACGAAAGATTGTACACTTTTCAGAAACGCAGCAGAATAGGTTATGCGATGAATAGACATAATGATATATTAAAACAAACAAAAATAGATAACCTGTTGAAATACCTAGATGGCAGGAACAGGTAGCCCAGATGCTCAAGCAGGCCGCCCTCTTGATGAGTCTCTAGATCAAACAAGGTTTCGTATAGAATACCTTAAGTCATCTAACATTGTTCTTTCTAAAATTTATCTCACATATACACAAAATGACAGCATTAAAGCAGTATCATACTACATTAAAATGACAATTATAATGCTAAAACTCAGAGCGGTTGCTTTCCCCGAAATAAATGATCTAATCAAATCAATTTACTGTTACGATTATTATTATTTTTATTATTATTATCATTTGCAGAGAATACAGAACTAACCGAAGCTTTAACAACCTTTTTCTTCATATCAGTCATACATTGATTAAATTCACTGAATACGAAAGATATTTACTAAAATTAAACAGTCAGTCAATTCATTAACTTACTTGTGGTGACAGTATATCCGATATTATATTATGAATAATCTTCTCTTGAGTATTCCATTCGTTATTCAGATTGTAATCAGCATGATGTCCATTGGTATTAGTCTCTGTATCATTTTCATTTGCCCCAGGTCCATTTGTATTAACATTATTATTACTATTACTTAAATAAACATCATAAGAGTCCATAGGTTGTTTCAGCTGTTGTTGCTGAAGATGATGATGACTGTAACATTGTGAATTTAATAGACAATTCGACGGTGAACAATAATCAGTAGGTGTTTGTACTGTCGGTAATAATACATTGATTGGAAGGGGAGAACAAACTGATGTATCTCCAGTTGGTTTATTTTCAATTTCTATCTCAGAATCTATATCTACATCTTGTGCTACAACTGGAGCACGATGACAGTGATGATAATGTGAATGGGGTTGATAAATTGATGATGAATGATGGGATTGATGGTAATGATTTATATGACTACTACCATTTTGTAAGCTACAATTGTGTTGTTGATATTGAGAATAATGTTCTGAATGTGATTTCGACGATCCAGTTGTAGATGGTTGATTCCGAGCCGAATTTTGAGAGTATTTATTGAAACCGAAGCCAGCTGAACGATGTGGTCGAAAACCACTGTAACCTTCAAAAATTGTTTTGAAATATAAAATATTACGCATATATATATAAATATATATATGTATATATGACCACACTTACAGTTAGTATTATTATTATTTGGAGTAGTAGTAACTGTTGGGGTTAAGGACTAAAGTTTGACCAGTATTGAATAACACATCGGCGTATGAAGTGAAAAGTACTGGGTTAAAGTCACTATCTGAATACCACAGCCGAGGTTTAGCTACGTCTAGTTGACGAGTGTCATACAGACCACATCACGTGTTCTTGGTTCCACTATTAGCTACGACCCATCTATTCTAAAGAACTTTATATTTCCAGAGTCTCTTTAATATTCAGATAATGAAGGTTCGTAGCTCAAGGGGTTAATGTTGTTACATTCCTTGAACTGGATACTTTAATAATGAAATTTTACTAGATTTTTTGGATAAGATCATAGCTAAAAAAAACTCCAAAATGTGGAACACTGGAATTTCTGTACAAATGACCAATAACCTGTTACACCAACATTGAATTAAGCTGATTACGTTATCACTGTAAATTCTCTTTGAGTACCTTATAACCTGACCTTAACTCTTTAATAAGTAATATGCACAACGAGATACGCAGCCATAGAAGAAACAAACAGAATAATTAGCAGAATAAATTGTTTTTATTGCAAGAAACACTATATCGAAACACGTAGCCGCACCTAGATCTCTTTCGGTTCTGACATCACTTAGCTGTCAAACATTACAATGCATTTTCGTCAGCATTAGTGGATGTGCACAAATATTCAACTACGAAGTAGCTGAAATCTTTGACATAAGCAGATCAAAGACTTCTTACGAGCCTGAGATTCAAGTCACTTAACAGTCAGTAAACGTAAGGAAATGGATACAATTTACCAACCCATGAAAAAAATGGTTGAAAAAACAAAAAGGTCAGAGATCAAGGAAAATCAAGGTAAATGTACAGAAACGACAGCACAGTTATGGCTCCAGATATCTTACAACACATTGCCAAGTCAATAATAATCAATTAGGATTACCTTGACCTAGAATCCAGGCTTTTTCATCTTTGAATAGCTTAGCAACATGTGGTTTGAGCTAACACCACAATTGCCGGCAACAACCGTTCGAAGATTTTAGCAACAGAACAAGTAATCAGATATATATGGCGAAATAATAATGGCTCACTATCTATCCACAGTTTTCGTGCTGATATTGTGCTGTCCAGAAAGATAATAACAGTCTCACGATAAAGATATTTAGAACAGAAAATGTCATTATTATGGTCGGGGGTGGGGTTGTGATTGTAAAGTTTTCATAGCTTTAATTACTAAGTGATCTTGGTTAAACCACGGCTGAGAATCAGGAAGTATTGGACAGTTTTTAGTCCTAGTATAGGACATCACAGTAGTGTGTATTCACGACTCCATAGGGGGTCGATTCAAAAATCTTAGGTCTCGCGTGAGAAACCAAAGGTTCTGAGTTTGAGTCCCGCGTATGGAATCGTCAATACAAACTGCTGCGGAGTCTCGTACTAGGATGATACGACCGTACAATGCTTCCAGGTTTTCAATAGTGGTCTAACATTGATGGGTTCATGATCTCAACTAAAACTCAAAAATCTCCACAACCTTATACTGAAAAACCGATTTAATTTAAAGAGAAAAACAGACAAACTGATACCTTTACACCAAATTTATTATTTACAACTCCAACTTTAGTACAATGGGCGAGATTACGTCTTAACCTCTACTTCCTTTCCCGTTAACTAGAGCGAGAAATCCAGTTTGTATAGAAAGTTTCTTGATAGAGATCTCAGAAGAATTAGTTGACATTCAAGTGAATTCAATTATATATCTATCCAATCATTATTAATTACAGAATTTTATTAATTGAACAATTTTTACTCAATATTAAATAATAATGAATTCATCAATACAAGGAAAAATGTATTGAAAATCAAATAACTAATTACAACTGAAAAAATACACCGACACTTAATGAACAGGATTTATTCTGAATAAATTAATACCGAATAAACCTGTTGAAAGTTGACTGAATAAAAATCACCTTAGATTGATTCAGGAAATTTAAGACTGATTTTCTTCCTTATACGTTAATATCCTTAGCACAAACAAACACTAGTCAAAATCCATCTTTGCTTATGAAGCTTGTTATCTAAAGCAATATCGAGGCAGTTCGCACAGGATGCACATATGTCAACATGAGACTGATCAGTTGCGGTCCTAAACAACAACGGGAAGGTACAAGCAAACAATACCTAGTGTATATTTATTTTATTTCCCTGTGATACATAGTTGTATGGAACTGTAAAACAGTTAGATTATGGAAATTAGTGCCCAATCTTTCCATTGATATCATTCAATAGTAAATAAGCTTTGATCATCAAATGTAACTTACCAATAAGTGAAATCTTCAGAATTCAGGAGTTATACTCAGTTACTGCAGATTATCTATGATTGTCAAAATATCAAAGCTGATTAAGAATAAATTTGTGAATATTCGAGTTAATAAACACTATGTGTCTTTTTTTAACAAGGTTGGTTTCTACGGGACGGGTTTGCCAGCCTCATGCCCAACTCTCCTCCCTTACCCTGCCTTGTGACCGACAGTAACCCTAAAAGATCTACAGGAGGATACCATTGGCAACAAACTACTGTGGGAGAGAACAAATCAGCTTTCATCTGAAGAGGAAACCAGGAAAAGACTTTGAAAGTGGATAGGGCATACCTTGAGAAAATCATCAAACTGAGCGAACTTGGAATACTGAAGGGAATCGGAATGGAGGAGGATCAAGGAACACATCGGGTTGTGAACTGGAAGCAGACATCAAAAGAATGAATAGCAACTGGAAAAAAAACGTGAAAAGATTGTCCAGGACGGAGTTGGGTGGAGAATAACGTTGGGAGGCGTAAGTAAGTACACTACATGTCGATATCCAGCTACATGAATGATTGCAATAACTTCAATAATTTTTGGTTGGTTTTTACCTATTTAGATATTTCAACGGTGTTATACGATATATTAATTCGAAACGATACAGGTCTGGGTACTTTCAGGTTATGATCTTTCACACTTTGAAACTTGGAAAATTCATTACAAAGTTTTTTTCAGTAACGAGTACACAATTATTATTATTCACTTGAATGTACCTAATGTATTCATCTCATATGGAAATGCAAATTGGTAAAATCAAGTCAAGAAACAACTTACTTTTATTACCTCCACCAGCAACATTAACACCAATAACGCCGCCGCCACTGATACCTCCACCACGTCTCCTTCGATGAAATGGAAATGTGGCTTGAGGATAAGAAAAATGGGGAGAGAAGGCGTTTAAACTTGATGATGTTGTTGCACGCCCATTACTGTCTGAAGCAAATGTAGTATTAGTGATGTGAGAATTTGTAGTGTAAACAATGGAATCAGTGTTAGTGTAGGCAGCAGTAGTAGATGTAGTAAGTGTGGTATGTGTACAACAATCAGAACTCATATTGCCATCTATAAAATGCTTATCTTTCATTGAAATGTGAGATCTACTTTCAAAATTATTAACGTCAGTTAGATTTGTACAGTTGGCAGTTATAAAAGATGTTTTACAGGATCCAACTGTGAATTAATTAAGCGAAAATGAAAAAAAGAGAGGAAGGAAGAATAAAAAGCAGCAAATATGAACAAAAAACATTTATATCACAATGAGAAACTTGATATTATCATCTCATTATTTTTTATTGGATTTTGATGAGTGTTGGTTGGCATATGTGCATCATGTGTGGATTCCCTTGATATAGTCGTTTTTCAAAAGCTTTTTATTAAATAGACATATTATAGTTGGCAATGGAGTCCAGAATACTAAGGGGGTAACGCACGAGAATTCTAAGCGAATGACAGTTGGCTCGAGTCCCGGTGCAATTATCAACACTGAGAAGCAGGCAAATTCAGTTGACGAGTCAAAGATAGGACGAAATTCGTGTTCTGGATTGCAATGCAAGTCACATTACGTCTATTCAATGCGAAAACCAACTAATTAAGGCAATGACTGTGATCTACAATACGAGGCGCATAGAGAGTGATTAAACTGAAGCTATTATAATTCACTATTACTGAGTTTAGAATTCAAAAGGGGATAAATTTTCCGATGTCAGTCAACTTGTGATATAACATGACCTTTATCCAATCGTAGCTGTGAATTATTGTGCCATTTCCACAGTAGGATCTGATGTTAGTAGCACTTAATTTAATCATACGAATATTCACCCATTCACTACTAGTGATCAATTTTGAGATGACGTTTCACATGTTTTGGTGTGGAACTATGTGTAATGTACGAACAACCCAAGTTCAGATGGTATATATTAATTAATTTACAGGGAACACAGATTGTCTTCAATCTATCATCCCCATCTAATGTTTGTTTCGCAACCCAAGCTGATTGTAAACTTTTCTATAGTTTCTCTGAAACTCTGAAACTCCTGTCTTCAGGCTTCGAATCCAGCAACTCCGACGCGACGCTCCGATGCAAACTACTTACAAACAATCTTGTCCACCACACTAGGATTAATGTGGTTTTGAGATGTGGATGAGCAATCCTGGAACGGGGCATAACGGTTCACATTTCTAATCCCAGTAAAATGTTGATTTGAGGCAACCCTAATTCAATGTCATCGGTGACAGCTACATCACTCATGACATGTGATTAAACTCCACCGGTATTGTATAAGAAACAAGTCACTTTGAAATCTAAGTAGTGAGATGTTTGGTCAATTTATTAAGCAATTGCAATTATTTTGTAATAGCACACAATAGGTTGTTTCGTCGTAAATATTAGGTTTAATTAGAAAGACAAACGCAAAACTCATAAAAGATATAAAGTATCTACAACAACCGTGAAGAAGGTTGTTCTAATCTATTATTATAAAAAAGGTTAGAATAATGGGACATATGTTAAGTGCCTATGATTCCATGCCTATATCTATGATTCTGTTTTTCTTCAGAAAAATAAACATGGAAAGGCAGATATGGTGAAAAATGAGTATATATATATATATATATATATATAGAGAGAGAGATTACACTACCGCCGTAGTTACAACAACAATTGCTGATTAAAATGTTACTAAGAATATAAATTCTAGAATGACGGCGGATCATGACCGACTGAAGACATATTCTTCTGAGAACGCACGCAGACGTCCAGATTACACAACCGGAAATGTAACCATGGGATACCAACTCATTGGTCTTAATGTTAATTTCCCGCTGCGAGAACTGAAGATCATGAGTCCGATTCATAATCGAGTCGCGTATGCGCATTGCTGTGGAGGCTCCTATTAAGATGTAGCAGCTGTCTGATGACTTTCAAATTTTAATGGCTATTTAATTAAAGCCATTTCATGATGTAAAACAACAAAGTCAACAACTCCCATAATTTTATATATGTGAAGATATTGAGATTAAGAAATTAAAATAGATTTCATAAGATTAAATAATTATTATTTACAAATTTTAAGTACGAAATTGAAGTAGTATTAAGCTGTAGACCATATTAAATGTCGAATTTACTTAATAGTTACACAGTAGATAATCTGACTAACAGTACCAAATAGTGTTTAAAGAAAATATGAAGAGGACTTAAATTCGGAAAAAGATAATATACAAGTTAAAGTAAATCTGTGGAAATCACCTACCTACAAAGCGATCTTTTACGTTTAAATCGATTATATCGTCCTCCTCAAGTGATATGTAGAGCAAGAACTAAGCATAACAGTCAAATCACAATTAAATTGGCGATTAGGTGATTGACAGAACTTATTTCTTTCAAATTCTTGTTTCAAATGATAGATAATTTGAATAACATCAACAGTATATCACTGTGTCACATGACACACGCATTTTGCTAGACCTGATTGATATATTTTGGTAATTACTACTTTGTTGTTCCGTGCTCTCTGTTTTCATTTTACTTTCCCTAGTTGTGGATAATTATCATTAATTCGATCTGGCACACGAAATGACCTTAATTACTCCGTTCATAAATCAACGAGCTGTCCATTTAAGAAATATTAAAAATTCCCGGCTGATGCATTGGATCGCTGTAATACATGTACTACCTAAACAACTACTGAACTAGTATACTTAAAACGTTCTTCTATCACATGTTTGTTCTGTACATCTAATGTTACTATTTATATCAAATTGATCATGCCTGTAAACTGGCGTGAATTCTGTAATTATTATTTTCAGAATATAAATTATTATTATTATTATAATTAATGGTTATGTTTATTTTCTCATCTAATCTTTTATATATTGAGGATGTCGTTTAATTAAGAAAACCCTTGTTACAGGTGTCATTTGTGTGGTTTTCATTTGACGGTAGTTCATTTAAGGAGAGTAATTAGGCCATTAATTCAGTCTTGTGAAGAACATCTTATTAACACAAATCATTTATCCATTAGCACTTCATTAATTATTTTAACAACCACATGTATATCATTTTCAAGAACCCAAAACTATCCCATTTAATATTATTAGACATAAAACTGATGAGTTAAATCCTAAATAAGATTGTTGGTATAAAATAGGGAAAGGAATCTCATATTACTGTGAATTACATGTTTATTGGTGTTTAGTTTTTAAATGAAAATTCCTCAGCAAAATCATATTTAATGAAAATATAGCTTCATAGTAGAAATTAAAAGCTACTTTTATAAATAGATGTATTTATTTGCAAGTTGTATTCGTCACAGATTGACGCCACTTAGGATATCACTAGGAAACAATGGAACACTGAACAGCTAATAAGACGTAGCGGCTGTGTTCAGCGCTCACTGGATACTAATATTACCTCGACTGAAATCAATTTTTCACGAATACAACCTGAAAATTATAATAATCTTTTAAAATACCCTTTCAAATAAATGTATATTCATTATTAAGGAATAATTTTCGCAATTACATGGAATAAAACGTTTGAATATGAGATATCAACCTCCAAAAAAATGTATCTACAACATGGCTCAAATGTTATGATATAATATTCAAATGCATACGTAAAGAAAAATAACTATTGACCAACCTGTTTTACAATTTATACTACCATCATCATTCTCTGCATCTTGGTCATCATTATCGTCTTCATTGTTTTCATATGGATCATCATCACGTGTAGAAGAGATTACGACATCATCATCATCAGTAGAATTCGTAGTTTGAGTAACATGTTTATCAATAGTTCTTATAGTACTGTTATTATTACTGTGAGGAACAGTATAATTATGACTACATTTTAATGATGATGGTTTCTTTGAACTGTTAGTATTATTCATTGCATTTTGTCTAATGTCTGTGACAGTTTTCGAATGATCTATTGGATCATCTGTACACTAAAACAGAAATATATAAATGTATATATTTTTCTATTAAAACATAGGGATGAACGAAGAATGTACTTCTCAAATAATTCCTCTAGATGTAACTGCAATAAATCCAAATTAATCATCCAAAAGATGCCCAAGTTTAAGGGAAATACATCATTTTGGAATTACGGCATATAAATTTAAGGTTATTAGCAAAAAAGATTAAAACGCTTAACATTGAAATGTCTTATGAGCAATGTTAACTTGTAACAGTTTATATGTACAATATGCAATTGTAAGAATAATACTCAAAATAAATTTAGATAACATAGAGTGGAAGAAGTAATGATGTAATTACAAATCAGATCAAATATGTGATGAAAGACAACATAGTGTATGAATTGAGTAAAGAATAGTAAAATGAATTAAGTGATAATTAAATTTCTGATGAGTTTAAGAAATCGAGAATAATAACAATAATATTTCAATAAGATGCAATTCATAGAATCCTGATGAGAAGCCATGACTAATGGAGACCAATCACATCCGGTGCGAAGCAGTTATCAATCAAAGATGGTCACTCAAAACCGTCAGTCGATTGAAGTAAAATATACTTCATTTTGGATGCGGGCTCAGCGGTCTACAGGTTAGGCGTTCGCGTGAGAAACCGAATGTCCTGGTAGATTACAGCATATATTAATTCGCTTTTAATCAGTATAGGGTTGTGAAAATTGTTGAGTTTTAATTGAGACCATGAACCGATCAATGTTAGACCACTATTGAAAACCTGGAAGCATTGTACGGTCGTGTCGTCCTTGTATAAGATTCCTCAGCAGCATGCATTGGAGATCTCATACGCAGGTGTCAAACCATGGACCTTCGGTCTCACGCGAAAACACCTAACCTCTAGGCCAATGAGTTGATATCCAATGGTGTTAATATTTAATTTCAACCAATCCATGGTATCGCCTCTATATACCTATGAAGATTATCAGTTGGAAGGAAAAAATAATTACACTGATTTAACTATCGATGCATTTGAAGTGATCCTCAAATGCGATGGAACTGGCAAGCGTTTAATGCCGAAGTTAAGCAAAGATTATGAGGAGAAAGTAAGGTATTAGGACTCTTAGAAAAGTCAGTCCAATCTACGATACAAATCATATAAAGATATATATGAGTAGTCTGATTTAGATACTAAACTGTAGGTGGTCGTTAAATAACTAATATGAAAATTAATCATCGACTTAGTCACTAGCGATTTCCATTAAGTATCTTTTTTCGATTCTTTACCTTATAGTACTAATTTACACAACCCAAACATTTTTATATGCCTACTCTCTGTGTTTAGGTAACTGACAAAATATTTGAATGACGATGGAATTTATTTCTTCATGATGTAAAACAGTATGAATGGATAAAATAGTCCTAGTTAATTTTCATCGAATATAAAGTAGTTTAGCATTAATGAGCAACACTCTGATGTAAACCGTTGTCTTAGTTAACAGAGGTCGAAATTATCCCGTTTTTTTAATTCAGAACTGAATTTTGTTCGGTCTTTGTTAACATATGTGAATCCTTTTCAGATTGCCTCAATAAAAGCACTTTTTACATCATAAATAATAGATGGGTTGTGACTAGTGAAAAACATACGTTATGAATTCCACTGCTAGCCAACATCCATCCATGAGGTCTCAGTTTCAAACTCACTTCACATTACCTACCTTGTATTTGGTAATCGGGTAGGTACATTCACTACTAGTTTCAGATTTCAGTTGTACCTCAAAGTTTAGTGTATGGAAATTTGTACTTGATAAAACAGTTACATAATAAAGGGATAACAGCAATCATATTTTTTTACGATTGGTAATATATATCGAAATTACATGATTACTACTTCACATGCTTGTACAAATTCCATATGTATTATTACTATTACTAATAAAAAAGAAACAAAACTTCCTGGACCAGAATATAGATGGAAAAAAATTAGGCGAAAATATAGTAATTAGGTATCTTATATCTGTTATTTATTACATAATCTTATCAATACATTAATCTCAGATTGTTGTAAAAAGAAAACTAGTGATAGGAGAACATGTAGGCACCATAAAACATCATCTAGAGTGAAATAAATTGTATCTGTGTATTCACATACACATAGAAACCTATTATAGGTAAGTGTACTGTACAAAAATGACTGCATTTTGAATTTTATCTAATTTCTCCACAGTAGAATTTTCAGTTTGAAAGACAAAGAAAACTCACAAGTAAATACTTATAAAAAAGAAACTACTACTAACACTAGATCATCCAGTTTTTTTTGCGCTACGCATATACGCTATACGCAGTTAATAAATAGGGACGTGTCCATGTGTACGTGTGTGCATATGTATGGCTACATGTAAACTTTATGCAAAGATATTCTAGTATGAAAGGTGGTGAACGGATGAAACACTGATGATGAATACAGTTGTGTAAGTAATCTTTTTTTAGAAAGAATTTAATCAAAATGTAAAATGAAGCGACAAAATAAACATTTTTTACATATGTAAAATCCGAAAAACAAGTTTAATGTTTAATGTATTTACAGACCAAGTATAGCTTTATACACCTGGATTTAAGTTAAACATTCTATGTAAGATAGGTAGTGATACAATCCAGTTACTTAAACAGAGGTCAATCAGGACAGACTGTAAGTACTACATTAACATGGCGATCAGGTTTGACTGCTGCAAGGACCTAATCGGAGTGTATTGGCTGAAAACACTAATTCTTTAAAATCTTGTCGTGTCAAGGAGGTAGGTTGAAAAGTAGTAACACCAATTCTTTATAAATCAAAACATAACACGATAATGATAAAGCTGCATCACACATTTTAGGAGATACCATCTGTGTACAAGAGGATCCTCAATTATCAAAAAACGCAAAAAAGAGATGTTTTTGTGAAGCGCTTCAACCAACTTTCGAAAAATGCTGCGTGCGATTTTCAACAAACAATGTCTACTAATGTACTTTGTAGGCATTAGTGACCAGGACATAGATTATGTCTAGTCGGACACAACTTACTTCGATGCCCAAAGGTGGCTGATAAAAAGAGTGAGTTGGTTCACAGCTGAAGCAGATCAGATCAAAACATGAATTAAGCGCTAAGTTTTCTATCTGAGCCAAATCGGTAGGTGCGAAATTTTAGCGATTGACCAGTTATTAACTCCATTTCGATTATTTACGCAATAACAATGATAATAAATATATGCATTTAGTACAAATCACAAAGAAATGCATGCATTAATTGAATAAAATCGTTTAAAAATTGAGCTGAATCTTGGTAAGAAAAACCTTCCTAACAATGTTTAGTGCATGTCCAAGAGGATAGGTTTTGGTCAAGTCGGACAATTGTTTTGATTGCGTGGAACATACTTGAAAGTTGTTACAAATCGATCTCTTTTCAGCTGCTTTATTGTTTAACCTATTTCTATCATTTCGAGAACAGATTGTCTGTCTGTTTGTTTGTAATCTATACCCGGTACGATAGCTGATCGTTTCACGTAGATTACTTACCACATTATGATTTTTCATATAGCATTTATCTTCCTGTCTAACAGTTCCACTAACATAGACTACTTTGATGCATATATTGAAATCCAATAAAACTACGTGTTATAAATCGTAGAGTAATTTAGTTCACCCAGTAAAATCAGAACAAAATCTTTTAGCTGACACATTTCTTTGAAGTACTGCTATATTATTATTTGTCCGATAGTATTGTAATTTTCTTCATTTAAATCTATGCCTATATTAGCCATAAGTACTCAGCTTGTGTTATCTTTAATGTGGATTATAATAATCGTAATAATAATAATAATAATAATAATAATAATAATAATAATAAGTAGTAGTAGTAGTAGTAGTAGTAGTAATAATAAAGGCAATACTAATGATAATCATTAGTAATAAGATTAACAGAAAACATTAAAAAAGCATAAAAATGTAACCTTTTTTTCTTTAGACGAGAATATTTTCCATTCCTCCCTCTTATTTTATGAGTTTAATCGCAAATAAGAACAAAATAGAAATAATATTTTGAATAAAAATTTTTGATGAGAAACAATCTTATTATTTTTTTGTTTTTAGTGAGAGGAGAAAAAAACGGAATCGAAGAAAAAATACTTCAGACAACAGAGAACAACAACACAAGCGATCGATAATCAAGTGGAAAGGAAGAGAAAATTGACTAGGCACTTTACTTGATAGTTTACAAAAATTCACTGCTGAATTTTCGGGAAAAAGAAAAGAACAACAAACGAATTAGGGAAGACGAAGCTTTTCTTTACTGAATGTGATGAAATTATTATAGTTTTATTCTTGCAATCATATGAGATAAGCGTTTAGATGATGTTTCTTGCTTCGATAAGGGGCATACTTAACAATAATAATAACAATTATTACTATTATTATCAGCCGTATTTGAACAAAAGATGTTATACATAAAATGAAGTGAAGCTACTTAGTGAAACACTGATATGAAAGTGAATATTCATTAACATTCAGAAACAGATGCAAGGGATGTAACACGTCAATATCCAACCACGCTGTTAACAGTAAAACAGTATATATACATTAGCTTAGCACTCAAATGTATGCCAAGTAAACTTATATTAAGACGAAGGCTTAAATCATCACTCGATAGAGTACAATCGCAATCGAATTCATTACCCAATAACCAAACGGCATGTAAACTATTTTGTTTATCGATTTAGATGTATGCATAAACGGCAGTTATGATATGCACATAAGAATGTTTGGAAACATATCAAAATGATTATGAAAACACATTTTAACGACCATATTATAACATATGATAAGCACTCATTTTTGTTTATCGCTGGGCATACATATTGACAATTGACTGATCACTAAATATTGACCAATATCATTTTTATCTAGTCCTTTAGTGCTGATCAAATTCTGTCGATTAACAAACAATGTGTGATTAATGAAGTAGTCAATTGTAAATATATTAATCC